AAGCCGGCGGATTAGAGAGAAGATGGAGGTGGCGAGCAGGAAAAATAAGAAGAAACAAAAACAAAGAAAAAAATCGTGAGCCCAGACGCTTCCTGTGGTTGATGGGTGATACGTTGCCCTTCGCCGAGGGATTTCAAGCCACGAGCCCGAACCCATCTTGCGGTTGATGTAAACTACGATTCCCTCCCATAGGGATCTCACCAAAGTTCTCCCCAAAGAACAAGAGTGCAGAAAAAAATTTCTTAATAATCCATCATACTAATACAAGAGCAAGGACCTCTATATATACAGGCCTCAAAACAAAAGAAGTTAAAAAAAGACAACTTTGCCCCTTGGTCTTACATAAGAAAAGACTCTTAAATAAGGGTAAAAAAAAGAAATGTAAAATTAAATCAAAATATAATTAATAAATTAAGATAAAAAAGGAGTGATCTCGGCCGTTGATCTTCGTCTCTTCCATTGAGTAACGTCCACCGTCGGATGTCCGCATCATTCTCTCGGGGTGGAAAAGAGCTTGACTCCGTCGAGTTCGCACCCCGGGCAACCATGCTCTAATACCAAACTGATGTAGAACGAACAACAATATTTGATGTACCAGAGCTTCTGGTCAGCAAGTGACGCCTTTCTGGAGGACTAGACAACAAGGATCTTGGGTGAAATTTTCTGGCCAGCAAGGGAAAAGCCGTCTAGTAAGCAGGACAGTGAGTATTCTGCTGAAATTTGAGGACAACAGAGAGAAATCTGCATACAAGAATTCTGGACAATAAGGAGAAGCCACGAGATTCAGGACAACACTTACTCTCCTTTGGGACATCAAAGGATTGGTTTTTGTATGCAGGACAACAAGCTTGCAATGTGAAAACCTATAGGAATTGGTGTTGGGAGGGAAGAAATAATGGCTTGGTCAACTAGTTTAAGGGAAATGAGATGGAGAAGTGGCCGACATTATGGAGGAGGGGAAAAGGAATTTAATTCCAGTAAATTTGAACTTGAATAGGGAGGAAAACGGATTCAAAAGTCTGAAATAATCTCAGCCTTATGGGAAGGAATTAATTGGGCTTTGATTGATTGATTTATGAATCATTAATGGGTCAGTAATTATGGGGAAGATTTGAATTGGGGAGAGAGGGTGTCTAGGTTCATTGAATGCGGTGAATTGAATTAAATTTGAATTTATTTCAGATTGGAATAGATTGAAGTGGTTTCCTAAGATGGAGTGAGTTATTTAGGGAAAGAATTTGAAATTCAGAATGATTTGAATTTGAATTCAAAATCTTCCTAAATAAGTAACACTATTTTAGGAAAGTAGTAAAATTAGGGTTTGGAGAATTTAATCAAATTTGAATTTATTTCAAATTGGAATATATTTAAGTGGTTTCCTAAGATGGAGTGAGTTATTTAGGAAAATAATTTGAAATTCAAAATGGTTTGAATTTGAATTCAAAATCTTCCTAAATAAGTAACACTATTTTTTGAAAGTAGTAAAATTAGGGTGTGGGGAAGGGCAAGATTAGGTGGCAAGGCTGACGACTATGCTTGGTGGGAGCCGACGGTTTAAGGTGGAGGGGATCGGTTTGGATTTTGGATGGAGTAGGGGGAAGAGGCCGACGGGTTTGTGTGGAGGAGGGGATGAAGCCGGCGGATTGGAGAGAAGATGGAGGTGGCGATTCAGAAAAATAAGAAGAAACGAAAACAAAGAAAAAAATCGTGAGCCCGGACGCTTCCTGCATCCTGCGATTGATGGGTGATACGTTGCCCTTCGCTGAGGGACTTCAAGCCACAAGCCCAGACCCATCCTGTGGCTGATGGAGATTACGATTCCCTCCCATAGGGATCTCACCAAAGTTCTCCCCAAAGAATAAGAGTGCAGAAAAATTTTTCTTAATAATCCATCATACTAATACAAGATCAAGTGTCTCTATATATATATGCCTTAAAACAAAAGAACTTAAAAAAAGACAACTTTGCCCCTTGGTCTTACATAAGACAAGACTCTTAAATAAGGGTAAAAACAAGAAATGCAATATTAAATCAAAATACAATTAATAAACTAAGATAAAAAAGAAGAGTGATCTCGGTCGTTGATCTTCGTCTCTTCCATTGAGTAACGTCCACCGTCGGATGTCCGCATCACTCACCCTCTTCTCCCTCAGCCCTCATAGAAGATACTTTTGGCCAGATTAATTGATGAGTTTATTTGGTTTGAGGACTTGTCTACCCAGGTTCGAATTACTGTAGGGGATCCCACTCCTTTTAGAGGTTTCGGCCCTAATTCCTCTTTATAAAGGTCATATAGCGATTTGAACAATTAAAGTAGAAGCAACAACTACAATATATACTACATTTCAAGCTAGAGTTTGTGGCTTCTTCCTTGCACTTGGAGGGCAAGGCAACATAGATCGAGTTACCTCCCCACCACGAGTCTCCATATTTTCTATAATATCTTACTTTTTTTTTTTGGTGGGGGGGGGGTGTTAAAGTTGTCTTCGTCCTTATTGTCACCTAATATCCACTCGTAAGATGTGTAACGATGAAGGCGGAGGAACACATTCATCCATGGGACTTGTATTTGTACTAATGGGAAATCAAGGTTTCCCTAGAACAAAATAAACTTCAAGGTTTCCCTAGAACAAAATAAACTTTGTTTGACCTGATGTCAATTTGCGTTTCATTGATTCTTGCATATTTCTGCAAGAGTTTATTGGGCTTTTTTATCTAATTACCCCTATATCTAGTTAAAGTTGTCTTCGTCCTTATTGTCACCTAATATCCACTCGTAAGATGTGTAACGATGAAGGCGGAGGACACATTCAGCCATGGGGCTTGTATTTGTACTAATGGGAAATCAAGGTTTCCCTAGAACAAAATAAACTTTGTTTGACCTGATGTCAATTTGCGTTTCATTGATTCTTGCATATTCATGCAAGAGTTTATTGGGCTTTTTTATCTAATTACCCCTATATCTAGTAGTGAATTATGAAGTCTTGTGTAGCCCATAAGACTTTGCTGCTACAAGATCAACTATGTCAGCATGCTCAGATAATGCATACACGTCTAACGATTTTTGATGCAATTTCTTCTGTGTTTTTTTTATTTATATCATTAAAATTTATTACTTACTTTGTACCATACTATTCAGATTGTTATTTGCGCATGCAATTCTTTTATACTATATGTGTTGTTTGTTGAATTTGTTGTACGCTTTTTCATATCATGAAATTTTATTTTTCTTACTACTGTGCTGTGTAAAATATTATTTGTGAATGCTAGCTTTTTGCACGCTTATTTTTATAAATTGTAGTTGTGTATAATAAATCTTAAAAGAAATTTCTACGGATGTTTTTATGGTAGTGCTCATCATATTCCTAGGTTTCTTTGGCAGCTGCATTTCTTCCTTTTACCCATGCACATATTATTATGCATTAGTTATGGGCTACAATTTTATATTTAATTTTGCAGCAAAATTTTGTCATTATACTTTCTTATCTTAGCATCCCTTTATTTTTTTCTTTCTTTTTGCCTCCTTTTTACACTTTTTAGTTTTTCTTCTGTACATGCTATTATGATTTCAGTCTATTTGCTTATGTATTTCCAATAATGGTTTCTGTTTTCCTCTTTCCAAACTTTTTCCCTTTCTTGTGTTAGTTTACATCCAGTAGTTTTACATTATATTTCCTTTCATATTTAGTAAACCTTCATTCAACTGTAACTTTGCTGCTATTTTTTGTTTTTTAGTTGTGTATGATCTCCTGAAAAGTTTCCCTAAACATTTAATTGGGAAAAAAGTTCATAATAGTCCTCAATATATTTGACTAATTTACTACCAGAGTTTTACATTTTTCCAATTTAGTCTCTTCACCATACAAAATGATCCCAAATGGTCCCTGAAAGATTAATTGAAATTGGGATCAATTTATATAGTTGAGAGACTAGCTTGAGATCAATATTATATCCCAAAATTAGTTCATTTATAGCAGCGGCATGATTTATGATTAACTTGTATAGTTGAGGGATTCAATTAGAGAAATGTGATACTTTGGTATTAAATTTGCAACATACAAATAGTCAGGAGATTATTTTGAGCTTTTCATATATTTAATTACTTCTTAATTCTTATGGTTCATTGGTTTAATCAGCAAGTTCTTGTTTGGTCTTGCCTTTAAAGAACTTTATTTATTATAATTTTGAGTTTTTGCATTGTGTTTGCAACATAAAGAATCATGCTACATTCTAAACTTTTCCATGGTCTCTCGAAGAGGAGAAATGAGCTCGTGTCTCGTAATATTTTGTTTGTTGGAGTTCCCTTTTAGCACTTTACCCATCTCTGTCAAAAACACTAAATATAGTTGACTTTATTTTGTAACAAAAACACAGCACACCATCGAAGAAAAATTTTTAAACAAATTTGTTTCTCTATTGAAGAGATAAACAGTTGTGATATATGTGTTTATTGTCTAGTTGCACCATGCATTCAGGTGTCCGATTGATCATATTGGCACCCATACTCACTACAATACTGAATATTAATTCTTCTATCAGCATTTTGTCATCCTTTCAATTAATTTATACTTTTTAGTTTTATATTTGATGTACATATTTTGTGTTGGTTAAAGGATCTATTTACGTTGCTATTGTTACTGTTTTGGTTCCATATACTTTGCTTAAGATAGAAGCTCTCAATAAGCTGTTTTTAACAATTTTGGGTTATGCTAGAATCATTCTGTTGCTTTGCATCCTGAGCATCTTAAACTGTCATTTGGAACCATGCCATGAATTACAAAACCTAAAATGGTTGCATATATATGTGCAATTTACTTGTTCCATGTGTTTAAGATTTGCTCAATGCTATGGTAAGAATGCTTAGTGGGCTCTAGGATTATGAAGTTCTGACATATTTTGCAGTTTGTCTGATAGCAATCTGCCTAGTTTAGTTTTCTTGTTTACTTATGATCTTGTTGTTTTCACTTCACATGAGTTATCTTGTTAATGATATGATGCAGGCACTCAGTTTAAGGTTCTAGTAGAATATGCTCCATCTCAAAGCATTCCAAGTACATGGATCAAGAAAGATGGTCGGGAAGGGTCTATATTCAAGGGTATTTGAGAAAATATATACTTTCTTTTGAAAAATGATGTTAGTTCTTTCAAATTTTCAGGCCATGCATTAAGTAGCCTATGTTTTCTGTCTTAATCATAAAGAGTTCTTTGATGAATATCTAGATCCTGACTATTTGGAGTTTGTTGAGCTTCTTGCAAAGCCTACGGAAAATCTCCCCAGTGCTGAAATTCAGCTTGAAAGGAGAGAGTCCGAAAGATCTGGTGCGTACTGGACTAGATATTTTATATCGGTCAGCAATATTCTTTTTAAGCATTTGAATGCTAGTGGCGTTGGCTTTTGCAATTATGCAGGTGCAAAGGAGGCACCAATAATAACACCACTGATGGATTTTGTTAGGCGGAGAAGGGCAGCTAAGAGTGGATCTCAGGTATCTTTTATGTTTCTGTTAGTTTGAACTTTTGTTTCTCTTATTTTGTATTTAAGTTTTTAGTATTTTCATGTGGACTTTCAATCTACATATGTTACTTATTTAGTGCCCAAATTCCAAATGATAGCTTCTATGGTTTGCACATAGCAACGTGCAAGGGGTGCTGTCAAATCTCAGTACAAATAAATTTATGCTTCATTTGATACCGCTATGTGATTGGGATGTATGATATAAAATAAATCCACTATTACTCTCTTAGAGATGAATGAATTGCTTTGCAAGCAGTGGTGGAATCAGAGAATTGATGGAGTCTCTCACCCCTCTAGATTTTAGAAAGCACTATGCAGTTATATAAAGTATGAAAGTTTTACCTTTAAATTCTCATGTAATCATGTATATTATACAAGCTTTGTGTTTTGCATATAGCAATGTGCAGGGGGTGTTGTTGAATCTCAATACACACAAACTTATGCTTTGTTTGATATTTAATATTGTTGTGTTATTGGGATATATGATATGAAATAAACCCATTAGTACTTTCTTAGAGATGGATAAATTGCTTTGCAAGTGGTGGTGGAACCAGGGGATTGGTGGTTGCTTTTGCCTCGCTAGATTTGAGAAATCTCTATGCATTTTTGTGTAATATGAAAGTTTCAACTGTAATTTCTTGTGTAATTATGTATATTATAGAAGCTTGGTGTCACACCTCGGGTTCGGAAGGCGGTATATCCTGACAACATGGGATGCTATAAAGGGATATAAATATATTTTTTGTACTCACAAAAGAGAGAAGTGCATAAATAAATAATATAACCAATTATACCAGAGTAAATAATGGAAACTAAACTAAATATTTATTTCATTAATAAAAATTCAAATAACAGCACACCCAACCAATAATACTGGTACAAGCAAAAGAAATGTAAATAGAACAAATAACATGGAAGAAACTACCCAACATACTAAGCAAATAATGGTTTGCTAAAAAATATAAAAAATCAAATATAGTCAACTGTGGATAAATCTGCTCTTGAAGTGACTATCCGCTAAATATGACGACATGACCTGCTATAAAAAGAGACAACGGGTGAATTTGATAAATCAAACTCAGCAAGTAACTCCTATTTCTCAAGCATAAATGATAAAGTAATAGGGCATGTAGTATGAAAATTAAAAAGTGGGACTGGTAACCTGTAGTTACTATATTAAGGTACCAATGACACATGCCTCAGCGCCCCTCTTATTGTGTAGAAGTTGGACTTTGTGCAGCCGTTTCTTTTCTTTCTCCTCTAGTCTTATTCTTACATTGGAGGCATTCCACTGTTGGTGATTGGCGACATTCTCCCATCTAGCTTCAGTGCCCCTCTCTTGTATAGAAAGAGATATTTTTTCTCTTTGTTCTTCACTTGTGTTCTTCTTCTTGCATTGGAGGCATTCCACTGTCGGAGATAGGCGACATTCCCCTATCAAGCTTCAGTGCCCCTCTATTGTGTAGAAGAAGTCACGATGAGAAACTATCTTCTTAATAGATAACCCTTGACATAAGAAGATCAATTGCTGCTTGTATGCGAGGTTGATTTGAGAAGATCTGACGGTAATAGTATTCGGGAGGAGAACCAGAATTGATGAGTAGACGGGGAGAATTTCAACACTGTTTGAGCGAAAGTTTGTTGGCGATGGACGATCGAACTGAAGTCTATTGGCAGTCAACGACCGAGTGTAAAGCTGAATGAGAGAATTGGAGAGTGCGCTGCAAATAGCAGTCGAGCGATAATCCGATGATTGTTGAAGTAAATGACCACTAGCAAATATCACACAAAGGGCCGATGATCGTGGATGTCTAGTGGCATTTTGCTAAGATAATATGCATTCATACGGAAGTGTGTTGACATTAGATATCCTTGATTCAAGGAGCCAAAGCAGTGTGCTATGTTAGTCGTCTGACGACACATGTGTAGTGTTAACTGAGTTGAGGCCTGATGAAGATCAAATTGTAATCTTTCTTTAAAAAGAAGTTGCAGGAAATGCATTTATGTGCAGTAGAGAAGAAGTCACTTAAATCCACTAAGGATAGTTGACTGTTTTGAAGTTTCTTGTTGCTTGATAATTGTAACTTGTACGGTTGATGCACAACGCTATGTATCCTCATACTTCAAAATGACTTGCACGTCATTCATTATTTTCAAATCATGCTCAATTATATATATTCATGCATTTATATGCATATAATTATTCAAATACTTATCACGGGGAAGGTGAACACCAACCTAAGGAAATCCAATGATTTCCTATAGAGTAGTTCACTCAGTGGGCTTGTCAGACCGACTAGTCAATATCTAATAGGGTTTACCGACCTATATACAAGCATAACGTGACTATGCTGTTGCAATAAATTTTCTCAGATATTATATAAATCAATATGCCAAATATAATTTATATAATTAATATGATTTGCATGAATGATATTCATTTTATTTAACAAAACTAAAGTGCATGAATTAAAATTCTCCATCGGATGAATTTAACTTGAATGAATAAGAACCAGTGAACAATAAATCAAGGTAGAGCCATCTATCACATATTGATTTCACTGTGAACAACAAAGGAGATTTACTACATGTGTGTAATCATACCGAAGAGTTTATTATAGGACTGACAACTCAATATCTAGCAACCTTGCACAAGAAAAAAGGATAACGCTTCTGACAAAGAAGGGTACATTTATCCCAAAACAAAACAATAGTTAATTACCTCTATGTGAGGCACACAAAACTCCAAGCCTACTAGATATTCAATTGGCAGAGCTACGAGGGCAATGATTCGAAGGTCATATAAACAAGAATAATGTTGAAAGGTTTCAATGCTTGAAAAATAAAGTTTACAAAACCTGAGTTTACAAGACTTATGGAATTCTACCACATCTGGGGACCTTAATAGTGATCTTTAAATATTAGAAATGTCATGTTGATTCTAAAGCAACCTTAAGACTTAGCTATTGCTCATAAGATTGAGGTTAGCTCAGCTATTGCTCATACAGATTGAAGTTAACTCAAAGAATAACAAGATGCTCATGCTGAGCAAAGTTATGGCAGCTTGAAAACTAGCAAAAAGACACATCCAGAGTACATAATGAGAGAAGAAAACACAAAAAGAACTAACCTAGAGAATGGGGATAATTAAGGATAATTATTCAAAAGTTTAATTTAGGTGTAAGATAGAGAAGTGACTCAAGAGTTTTATTTGATCGAAGAATATTAAAGAGACTTAAATAGAGAATTATAAATGTATGTAGATCAACTATGATAAATGGATCTAAGTCCTTTTCAATAAGGAGTTCTTAATGACTAAGTTGTGTGTGGAAGAATTCAGAATGCTAAGATGAATGCATTGTAAGATTATGAATGATAGAGTGGGAACTAATCATATAATGAGTATGATATCTATTAAAGACAGGGTAGTGTATGGATTTAAATGATATGAGCATGCACAATGGAGGGAAAAAGAAGTAAGAATGTCAAGTAGATTGAATTAATGTGAAGAATTAGGGAAGAATAAGAAGCATGTCTAGCGTTTGTATAGTTGGAAGCTGTGCAAAAATTATCTCCACAATAAAGTTAAAACTTCATGATATACTCAATTGAATGAAGAAGAATTTATAAAGATGATCATGGCGATGATGATAGTAATTGTATGATATTAAGTACTTTCATTTTTAGTTACCATAAAAGTTAGGGCCTTGTAATTATAAAATTGTTGAGAATTGTCCTTTTTCCCAATCTTATATTACAAGATTAGTTGAGGATGAAATCATAGTTATGGAGTGGAAAGTTATTATTTATGGGGGCCATTTTAGCCTCAAATTATATAATGTATCCAATTTAGGCTTTGCTTGGGATGGCTTTCTTATTGCTTCTTATAACAGCTTTTTAGTACAAAATTTTTAATTTTTGTATTAAAAAGCTGCTTTAAGAAGCAGTAAGAAAGTCATCCCAAACGAAGCCTTAGTCTATTGACTTCTCAAATCTGATTAAAAAAAGTTCCTTGGCTCCTCAAATCTGATCCAAAATAATACAACATAGGGATTATTTTGGATCATATTTGAGTAATCAAGTGACTCAATTAAACACATTTATAGACTGATACTAAAATAATCCAAGGATCATTTTGATTTTTTCTCTTATCTTTAGGACTCTCTGTTTTCCACTCTGTAATTTCCTTAAATCTCTTAATCATACCACATGGAATTTTTCATAGTTCATTTGATCAGTGGGAATATTGTTTAACATTTTCTCCCATTTGCAGAGAGCATTTGGTAATGGAAAACCAAGTCGAAGAGCTTTAGTTGGTGGTAATAGCTCTAGTCCTTCCTCTAGACGTTGTTCTGAGAAGCGAAGAGGGCCCTCCTTAAAGGTTTGCACATGATATTTCTGGGAAACTGATATTTTTGTCTATCTCCTATTCGTTTGCATCTGTATCTTTTTTTTAATTCAGTGAATTTGAATCAGGTGACCATTTTCATTAAAATGCTATTATTCCTAGTGAATATTTTGTACCTCTCCAAAAATGACCCTGTATTTATACTTTTCCTGATTTAATGTTTTCTTAGGTTGAAACATCTGAAAAATGTTCATGGAAGTATACTGCAATTAGGAGGATGAAGGTTAAACAATATCTAATAGAATTAAGTATCTGCCTTTCATCTAATTTTTCTGATTTTTTTTTCGAAGTGATAGTACATCTAAGCTTTATGTACTGTTACTTTAAATTCTATTAGTCATAAAATTGGTTCCTTTTAACTTTTATCAATAAGTAAAGGGGAATGGCATTGAAATAACTATATTACATTTCTAATATTAAAGACCAATGAAAGTATTTCTTACATAATTGTACGATTGGATTATTGTGAAAGCTTTTCTCATCCATGGACATGTATTCTTATAGTATTAGTTTTTGTGAATGTTCATCTAAGTTGTTTTGCTTTGATTTAAGTATCGGTATAGGGCTTTTCTTGTTACTGTTAGCATGGTACTGCTCATGCTTCATCGTTCCATTATGTTGCACATTGGCATGTTTCGGTAATTCAGGGTGACATAATATTGACATTATTCCTTTTTTTTTTTCCTTCGGGCTATCAGTGCATTCCCCATGTTTTCTGATAATGTGCTGCATGTACAACATAGTCAGAGCGCTGAGGGCATCATACTAAACTGTTTCTTTCAGTACTTGTATATCGGTAACCAGACAAGCTTTAAAATTTGTCATCGAATGTCATTTTCTATGAAGTAATTGTTTGATTGATGGTGCAAGTTTATGCTGTATGAATTCTTATTACTGTTGGATTATGAGGAACTTCAGGGCGCTGATGTAATCTTATTTTTGCCACCTTTCTCTCTTTCTCTTTTATATATATATATATATATATATATATATATATATCATGATGGCATACAAGTTTATAAATGATAATTAAACTTTTGCCCAACGCAAAAATAGAATTTTGATATTGTTTATTATATAACCCTTGGCAATACAAAAATCTCATTTTTGACATGGAAATGTTAGTTATATTGGTGCTTTAGAGTATCCAAAATGTCAGGTTAACATCATATTTTTTATGTCGTCATGCTAGCAAGCAAATGAGAATGACTCTTAGCAGGACACATCGGAGAAAAAAGATTCATGTAGCCGACCCCACGTAATGGGATAAAAGCTGATTGTTGTTGCTGTTGTATGCTAGGAAGTAGCTGCTTGAGTAGCCACTTGAATGTTACGTAACCACGTAAATGTTTGTTCCATCGTTGCTGTATTTTTCTTTCCATGTATTTCCAGAACTAACTCTTTTTCCTCCTGTTAGAAATAGGGCTTTTAATTTTTCTTTTTTAGGTTAGATCTTGGTTTTTAATTTTGTTAGTGTTTCTATGTACATTTCTGATGTAGTTTAATCTTGCTTTGTTTATTTAACCATAGCTAGTAGTGTTATATTGTTTGCACGGATCCTTCTATCATTTTTTGATCCACGGTGCAGTATATTTCAAAGGACAGTACAAAGAATGGTTCTGGCAAGGAAAAGCCAACTTACATGTTAGTGACAAGAAGGGATGAACAACGTTCTGAGAAACCCCCTAAATTTCCATTTTCAAATATTGAAGATGACATTCAGGATGAAACAGGTATGAAAGTTGAATGTCGCTGTTCTTTTCTCTTTCAATTGTAGAGCCTTCCTTTGTTTCTTGATAAAATTATTACGATGCTTGGTCAGTTCGATGCCTCTTTTTAGAAGTACATGATGTTCCGTGTAGCCCCATGGAAGTTTTGATTCCGTGTTTTTCTTTAAAGATATTTATAATGGTTGTTCCGTTGTTAATGAAACATACGTAGTATTATAAATCATTTAACCAAAATTTTGCAAAAATAGCTTCTGCAGAAAATTTGTCTTTCCAATTGCGACAGCATCAAAAGTAAACTACCATGTTGGCTAACTTTAGTATGTGGCAGCCTTTTACTGCATGTTTGAAGTTATGTATGAGCACTTAACTTATAACGGGTTATTCTCTTTGTCATGGAATCTAGCCTTTTTTTTCTTATGAAAGCTTGCTATTAAGGTTATAAATGGGAATTTCATACTTATTGTGTTGCTAGCACCATAATGCCTTTGGAAGCTCAGGTGATGCGTCTCCTACTGTGTGGCAACTTGCCATACTTTAATGTAGAAAGGGATAATGAACCTCTGCTAATTTAGGATTAATATGAAGGATTCTACTTATCCCTTTCAAACCAAAGGCTAGTGATCTATACTTCAAGATTAGATGGAATTAAGCTTACTTTTTCTAGCTCGATAAATTTTAATCGTTTATTGGCAAACCTAAAATAAACAAGCAACAGTATTGGATTTTAAGGTGAGCTGAATTATAATGAAATTTAAACTTGATGTAGGTTTAGGGGATTATAATGTAGATTTATAATCTACATTTTATTTGATTGATGTAGGTTTAGGGGATGGCTAGTATAGTTCTTAAAAGGGCTTATAATGAAACTTTAACAAAGAGATAACTTGAATTCTGGGAGAAAGAGAGCACTAGAGATTAATGAAATAGTTAATCGAAATTTAAACTTGATGGATGAACAGATCTTCTTGCTTGAAGCTTTATCTTCCTTCTCGCTTGAGGTTTTCCTCCAATGTCTTTTGATTGGAGTCCAAACATAGGTCTACGTCCGGACTCCACACGTAATAATTTCTCGCAATCAACAAGCTGCAATCTCAGCTTTCCAGGCCATTTCTTCCGCCAGAACCAGGCCTTCAAGAAACAGCCCCAAAATCTGCGGCTTCCTTCCTTGGCTTCCTGCTGTCCTCAACTAGCAGCTCTCAGGAATTGGGTTCCTTCCCATACAGCCAGTCTCTGTAGCTTTCAGGAAACCAAAGTTTTCTTAGAATTCTGTAAAGACAGAATTCCAGAAAACTCTCACAGTTTTCATATTTCTGAAGAACAGCCATCAAGAACCTTCTCTCTCAGGTTTTTTTGTAAACCAGTTCTCTGTTTTTCTTAAATCCCCGGTAAAATCGTATCAATTATATTAGAGCAATTATGCATGATTTTTTAATTACTTGTTTCTTTATTAAGATATCTTGTATAGGTCTATAAGTAGGGATAATTTTATGCAATAAAATCAAGCCTTTTTCCCTCTCTAATTCTTAGAATTTAACACTTCCTTCAAGGATATACTCAAAGTTCAAGGGAATGCTGTGGAATAGAATGTTGAACCATTTGGTCTAATAAGTCACCTTGAGAGTTAAAATACAATCAATACATAGCCAATACACGGCTAATATGCAACAGTACATACACAATGTGTATTGATCACATGTCAGTGTGTATTGACCACGTGTCTTTATTTGATGGGAGTTCTGATGTAGCTCTAATAGAGAAACAAATAATTACAGAATTATGCATAATTGTTCTAATAGAATCCTTCGTAAACCAACCACCCAAATATGGAAGGAGATCGGCGTGATCTAGGTGAGCTTCCCACGGATTCTCATCCTGGCAGTGGGATCAAGTGTCAAGGGATGACTAAGATTTAACAAAAATTGACGTGATCTAGGTGAACCTCCCACAGATTCTCATCTTGGTCGTGGGATTTAGTGTCAAGGGACAACTGAGATTTAACAGGAAGAATATACAAATAATGGAAAATCCTCAACCTCTTGAATATTGGCATGAATTTTACTCAAACTTGCAGGTTCAGTTAATTCACAAACTTTCCTTCATTTGATATTATTGAAGAATTGGCTATTACTTCTTTACTCAACATCCTATAACATGTATTGTGAGATTTTTTTTTTTTTTTCATTTGTCATTCTCAATAAAACTTTCGTTTTTAGTTTAACATGATTGAAATCTCAAAGACTTAAAAAGTGGCCTTAAAAAAATGAAATGAGAAGTTGTTCATAAAATAAGGGAGCAATCCCAATTGGGTGTAAATGGGTGTGCATGGTCAAATATTAGTTTAATATATCCATTTATAGATACAATGCACGGTTGGTTGCAAAAGGCTTCATCCGAGCTTATGGAATCGACCACTCAGAAGTTTTTGATATAGATGCAAAGCGTAACACAGTTCAGGTACACTTAATGGCATCTTATCGAATGGTCTTTTTACCAACTTGATGTCAAGAATGTGCACTTCAATGAAGACTTTAATGAAGAAATCTGCAAGGATCTTCTTTCAGGAGTCAAGTGCTCTGAGAAGTTAAAACAAATATCCAAATCAATAAAAATCTATTTATGGCCTAAAAAAAATCATCTAGAGCATGGCTTGAATGGTTCATTGAAACTATATGCTTGCAAGGATTCAAGCTAGCTCATCTTGATCACATATGATTCTACATACAAAAAGATGGTAAGTTAATTTTAGTATTTGTATATGTTGCTTATCAAGGATCAGCCTTAAGCCCATATCTTTTTGCTTTAGTCATGGATGTTTTCACTAGACATTTGCAAGAGGATGTACCCTGGTGTATGCTTTTTGCTGATGATATTCTTCTTGTTGATAAGACTAGAGAGGGAGTTGATAGTAAACTTGAATTATGGAGGTCAACATTAGAGACTAAAGGTTTTCGCTTGAGTAGATCTAAAACGGAATATATGGAGTGTAATTTTAGTAGTAATAGACCTAGTGAGGGGTTTGTGACTTTGGGCGATCAAGTCATTAATAAGAGTACACGTTTTAGATATCTTGGATCTATTGTTCAGAGTGATGGTGAAATTGATGGGGATATTATCAACATAATTCAAGTTGGATGGTTGAAGTGGAGGAATGCATCGGGCTTATTGTGTGATAAAAAAGTACCCCTCAAACTTAAGTGAAAATTCTATAAGATGGTAGTGAGGCTTGCAATGCTTTATGGTGCTGAATGTTGGCCATTAAAAGAGAAGCATAATACTAAGTTAAGTGTGGCAGAGATGAGGATGCTCAGGTGAATGAGTGGCTTTACCCTTAGAGATAGGATAAGAAATGAGCATATACGTGAAAAGGTTGGAGTAGCTCCAGTAGAAGATAAGATTAGAGAGAGTCGCCTTAGATGGTTTGGTCATATAAAACGGCGGCCTTCCAATGACCCGGTTATGAGAGTAGAGGTATTAGATTTGACTTATGTTAAGAAAGGTAGAGGCAGACCTAAAAAGACTTGGTTAGAAAATATTAGGAATGACCTTTCTTTATTAGATTTAAACGAGAATTTGACATTTAATAGGACAATGGAGAAAAAGGATTCATGTAGCCGACCCCACGTAGTGAGATAAAGGCTTGATATTGTTGTTGTTGTTGTAGT